ATGACAACATTACCATAAATGAAGTCAAACGCTTTACCAAACCTGACTTGGATGACAAAGATAAAATAATCAATTCCGATGCTGTCCTTCTGATCTTCAGTGGGGATAAACTGCCTTCACACGTATGTATAAATAAGGTATTTTTCTTGGTAAAACCGTTCATAGAACGGATTCTTCAGTGTAAAAAATGCTGGAAGTTTGGACACTCAACAAGAGTTTGCAGCCGCTCCCTACAAGTTTGCCCGCGCTGTGGATCGGCTCATGAGGGTACATGTTTAACTATACCAAAGTGTGTCAACTGTGACAAACCACATGATGCCAGGTCGAACCAGTGTGAACTGCGTACAATGCTTAGGAATAAAGCCAAAAAAGAAGCTGAGGAAAAAACGCCAAAGATCATACACAGTTACAATAATTTAATAAACAAGCCTCCTCTTTTTTAATTTATCACAAGAAGACTTCCCGGAAATCAACGCAAAGAGGCCAAAATTAAGACCAAAATCTAAAATCAACATAAAGAGAAAGAAAAATCCAGTTTCCGACTCATTTATTGAAAATATTGATGAGAATTCTCATCAAGAAAACATTCAACAAACCCCTTCCAGCGTTGAAGTTTTAACTGAAGCTGCCTTTGATTTAACTGAAGCCGTTACAAATTTCGACATTCAATCACCCAATGCTTTGGAGACTCCGTCCATGGATCTCAGTCCAAAATCTTTGATCAATTCCAAAAGCATTGAAACCAACCAAAATAACACTCAACCAGAATATGCTGAAAGCAACAATGACACTACAAAACTCAATCAACCTATAACTAACACATTGAAAAATATCATCTGAACATCCACAATATCCGATAACGTGATCCGCACACCCTTATATCTTTTTGAATCATTTCAAAAAGAAAAAAATAATGTTCTTGATCATGATGAAGGTCCTACAGATTAACTTGAGAAGCATCAGAAATAAAAAAACACAGCTATGCCATTTCCTGAAAGAATCGGGGATTGACATAGCATGCATATCGGAAACCTATTTGGATACTATGGATCATTTTTCTATACCTAATTATGACACTTTAAGAAAAGATAGATTATCATATGGTGGCGGCGTTGCCATCCTTATAAAGAATACTATAAAATACACCAGCTTTGACATTCCAATTATTAACCGTAATATAGAAATAATTGCGTGTTGTATAAATAACGATTCAGGCCCTACAATTATAATATCTACATATATTCCACCCAACGTGACATTCAGCACCGCTGACTTAATGAGTATTACCACACGCATTCCACAAAATGCTAAAATAATAATGTGCGGTGACTTTAACTGCCATCACCAAATATGGGGCTGTAGTAATACAGATATTCGTGGAGAAAATATGCTTCAATTTATAGCAGATAAAGATCTTGTCCTTCTAAATGACGGCTCGTCAACCTATTTTGGTAGCAGCTTTCTTTCGGCGCTGGACTTATCAATATGCAGCCCTTCCATTGCTCTTGTAACAACGTGGTCCACTTTAAATGAGTGTCTGGGTTCAGACCATTGCGCTATAATTATGGAGATTGACTTATATACAACATATTGTAAAAATAGCTACGGTATACCAAAAACATAGCTCAAGATCGAATTAAACAGGGCATAATTCAAATACTTAACGACGACCAATATTTACAATGCCCGGAGTCATCAAAATTTGAACTTCTTTCTCAAAAATCTACGAATTATTCAAAGCACCTGTTGGCAACAGGTTGGTGGAGCTTGAAATGCAGAAAGGTAAGAGCAACTCTTATTAAAGCGCTAGCTCGATACAAAAAAAAACACCAAACAGGATCAACAACGAAAAATTAAAAATATGCCAAAAAGAGTACTTCTATACTATCAGAGAAGAAAAACGGAAAGGATGGCAAGAAATGTGCGAAGGTATTAGTGCTGACATATCTTCAACAGAACTTTGGAATATTGTCAAAAAGTTTACCAAAAGTAAATATATGCCAGAAATGTGCGCAGATAAATTCTGCGACATAATTTTTGGCCCAATCGGGCCTATCAACGTACCCCCTACTCTTGGCAACATTTCAAATTACACTGATTTTACTATGGATGAATTGAACGCTGCAATTAACACTTCATAGGACACAACTGGAGGTATTGATGGCATTCGACACGGTCATATGAAAGGATTTAATAACGAGGTAAGAAGAAAAATTTTATCATTATATAACCATATATGGAGATCCGGAGAAAACGGAAAGGATGGCAAGAAATGTGCGAAGGTATTAGTGCTGACATATCTTCAACAGAACTTTGGAATATTGTCAAAAAGTTTAGATGCAGACATGCAACCAAAAGTAAATATATGCCAGAAATGTGCGCAGATAAATTCTGCGACATAATTTCTGGCCCAATCGGGCCTATCAACGTACCCCCTACTCTTGGCAACATTTCAAATTACACTGATTTTACTATGGATGAATTGAACGCTGCAATTAACACTTCATAGGACACAACTGGAGGTATTGATGGCATTCGACACGGTCATATGAAAGGATTTAATAACGAGGTAAGAAGAAAAATTTTATCATTATATAACCATATATGGAGATCCGGAGATATTCCGACCTCATGGTTAAAATACAAAATATGCCCTATTCATAAAAAAGGCAAACCGCCTGATGACCCTCAGTCATACCGATCAATCGCTATAATATCATGTTGGCGTAAAATATTTGAGAGAATGATATTATTCCGAATTGACCACCAGCTTGAATCGTGTGATAAATTACACAACGCACAGTCTGAATTTCGAAAGAATAGATCAACTAGAGACAATGTTACCAGCATATGGTCTGCGGTACAGCTAGCAAAAAGAGAGGGTAAATTTCTCTTGGCAACATTCCTCGACATCAAAGGAGCTTTTGATAATGTAAACACTGATATACTAATACAAAAATATAAAGAACTCGAAATCAAATACCCCGGAGTGTTGCAACAACCATCACAAGACTCAGATTTGGCCATAACCAAACAAAACATCACCTCCATGAAATAAATATCTCCAGCTCCGACAGATCTGATTGTGGCGACGTCCAAACTATGGATCACATTACGTTCAAATGCCCGAATATCAACATTAACACACGTCTTTTCCTATTGCAAAAACTACAAAATCTTGACATACACCAAACATCAATCGACATCATATTAAAATCGAACAACGTCAAAGCTTACTTCGCTTTATGGAAATATTATAAAGCTGCAGACATCAAAATCTAAAAATTAAAAAAACAATTCATAACTAAAATTTTACCCGTGAAAAAGACCAAATTCCCAAAAAATATATATTAATACCCGTGAAAGTGGCAATATAGACCAAGTGTCTCGTGTCACTTTATAATTCCTCCCCTAATTGTGGTGGAATTGACATATGGCAACGTATGTCTGAAGAAGAAGAAAATAGTATATCAACGCATACTTTCGAGAACTACATCAATTCATCTATTCTAAACCAACCCAAATCGAGGAAATATATGAAGTATCCCTATTCCAGAGGAACACCCCGCAAAACTCTGGGTACTATATTATATTCGGGGAGAAATATATGGGTGATAGTATTTTATTATTGGGCTCTGGATGTCGTAAGACTTTTTTGGTATTTCTCTGGCGTGTGTAAGTTACCACACTCCAAAGGCTCATGTTGCTGCCATCAAGCCCGTAAGGTGATTTGCAGTTCCCGCAACAATTTATATTTAAATAGTTTTTTTCTGTACTTTAAATTAGGGGGTGTTTTAATTTTGTCTACTTCCATATCCGACTTAAAAAGTTTTTTTAATTATTATTCATATATTCGATGCTTATTATTTAAATCTAATATCAAGAACCACGCCCGTTTTTTTTTTTTTTTTTTTTTTTTTTGTTTTTGGAATGATACGTATTTGGATCCATGTTATTCAGACAGATTAAATTTTTTTAAGATACACGCAATTCTACAATAATTGAAACAAAGCAATCGGAGAAATATATTTCAAGTTGAAGAAAAGCTTATAGAACCATTTGTTTTTCCTTCAAAATATAAAATAGATAGTAGCATAGCACGTAATCGAAAATACATAACTTTGAAAATCTGATTTTTCCGTTTTATATAGTTATGAAATAATTATATCGACGCCTCCGAACCATAGCATGGTATAATAATAGAAGGTAACAGCAAGTGTTGTTGTACAACAAACACATGGAAAGTTGTTGTTGTAAGTTTTACTAGTGTCAACGTCATTTGACAGAAAAGTGTAAATAAATAAACAAATTATCAACAAATTATATTTATTTTGAAAATTCAATATTTTCGAATCCTCAAAATAAAATTTGAAAAACATGAATGAAAATCTATCAAATTCATATTTCTATCGCTTCCACATCTTTCCTACAATTGAGCCATTGCCACTTATATGTGTAACACATATGAAAATGCAGGGAATTGCGAGTTTTTCCATGAAGAAAGATTTGCTTCCTTAAACTTTCCCAGCAGGCAGATTGAGTAAATTGAATACGGGAGCACATTTAATAAAGAACAATTTCAAATTGTATGCGTTCCCAATTTTCCTGTTGGGTGATTTTTAAAAACATAATGTGTCAAATTCATATTGACACTAGTATTACGTTGGAATCAAATCAGCTGGGATTTGCTGTTACCTTTTATAATTGTACCATGGAACCATAGTATGCTAAGTTGACTTAGCATGTTTTAAAGTTCTTTACGTTTTTAGATACTACGGTCCTTAATTTACATTCACTGAAATTTTGGTAATCATCGGCCAATCCAAACCAAAGTTATAAGCAAAAATGTACTTAGCATGGCACGTACGATTAAAGAAACTTCCATACTTTGAAAGCTTCTACTGAAAAACTCACTTTTCAGACTTAGCATACTATGGTTCGGAGGCGTCGGTATATATTCATTATATGTAATTATATATTTCCAACATTACAATACTTACTTTGTTGTAATCACTCCGGTAGAGTTGTCTATCAGGAACGTGTTGTTTATGTTTCCATCCACAATGTCGTAGCGGATTTTATTAATTTTGTCCTCGTCCATATCAGTTGCAGTCACTTTCAGCAGTTGAATGCCTTCATAAGTAGGTACGTATAATGTGGCATTAATTTCTTTGGTAGCGAAAACTGGGGGACAGTCATTAACATTTAGGATATTGACAGTTATCTGAGCAAAGTTTCGAGAATACAATTTCGGATTTCCCTTGTCATTTACCTGTAAATATGTAGTATGTTGAGTATATAAACAAATAAATATCAGGTGAATAGGAGTATTCTACAATAAGAAAACACGAGCTACAAGTAGGTAGCCACATTAAATATTTATTGATAAGTATGGTCAATAGATTAAAAATTCAATTTTAAATAATAAGTTTAACAGTTGTGATATTAAAAAATTGACTTTGCTTGTCTCAATCAATTCTAATAGTTGAAAATTCACATGTTTTTCATTAATAGTTTAACGGCCAATACAAACCTTCATTCCCATTACACCAACTATGAGGCCGAAAGAAAAATTTAAAGGACATAAAACAGTTTTTAAGAAGAAACCAATCTATATGCAGTTACAATATAGTTTAAATTTTAGTTTTCAATTAAAGTAAATCCTAAATCAAAGGTTTAAGAAAGAAAGAAATTCATTATGAAAATCGGAGAAATGATCAAAGTTGACGGGCAGGTTAGCAGTCGTAACATCGGCTGGCTCTGATATCAGGAAGACGAGTGCTGAGTCGGAATCCTCCGCAAAGACCGAGAATCCCAAAAGGACCAACCGGAAGTTGCGAAAGAGGAAGATGACAGCAACAGATGGTAAGGAGCCGCCGTCTTACGCCAAGGTTGCCAGGAAGCGCTATCGAGACGAGCTCTGCTATGCAGTGATCGACGGAAATAGCGCGTCCGGCAAGCTAAAGAAGGAGACCCATAGAGAAGTATTAAATGTGGTCAATACCAAGATAATGGAGTACCTACTGGAAGGAGGGGACTCTATAGAAATGAATAGCTGCGAATTCAAAGGGGAATATCTAATGCTGGAAATTTGAAGTCCAAAAAGCATAGTAGCCCTGAGAAATATAGTGGCAAGCATTGGACCAATAGATGGAATAATGAAGCTCAAGCTGGTGAGGAAAAAAGACATTCCTCAAATACAAAAGGCTACAGTCTTCGTCAAAGGTTGGGCAGCGATTTCGACACGGAACGCATGCTCAAGGTCTTCAGCCTACAAAACAAAACGCTGCACGTGAAGAAATGGGAAGTCTTCCACAGGGAGGAGGAAGGGACTCTCCTCGTGTTAGGCTTAGACAGGTCTTCAATGACAAGTCTGGCTAAGACCAAAGGCAAGGCGTACTACGTGTCCAATGCCGTTTACTTCAAAATCGGAAAGGCAAGAATTGGAGACGATGAAGCCAAAGAAAGCAGCGAGGGGATAATTCCCAGCAACACAGAGGAGGAAGCAGATGTGAATATCACAGACTCCCAAGAAAACCGGTTACTGGAGGACAACTGATTGACGTCATCCAGATCAACCTCCATCGGAGCGAGATGGCAACCCTGGCCCTGATGGAAAAAATTATAAAAGGTAAAATACACATCGGACTGATCCAGGAACCTTGGACAATTAAAAACAAGGTCTCTGGATTAAGCCATATAAATTACCAACTCTTCTATACAAATACGGGGTCTCGTCCGAGAACCTGTATAATATGTCATAAAAATTTATGCTTTCTCTTCTCCCCAGAGTTGTCAACATCGGACGCCACTGTACTGAAACAGGGGAGTGGTAACATTTACCTGGCTTCAGTGTACCTCCCGTTCGACTCGCCGATACCACCACCAACGGCGGAGCTGTAACGACTGGTGATGAAAGCACAGGAAACAGGTAACGAAGTACTAATTGGTAGTGATGCTAACTCACTTCATATTGCGTGGGACAGTACAAATACTAACAAAAGGGCCAGGCCCTTTTAGATTATTTGAATACTAACGATCTGATAACACTTAACATAGGCAATAAACCTACCTTTGTCAACAGGAGCGGAGGGTCTCAGAAGAGTACTCCTTTTCTGACCACAAATATATTATGTTCAAAATCCTACGGCCACCGCCGAAACCAATACACTTCCGTAACAAGTCCAAAACTAACTGGATAAAGTTCGAGAGACTAGTCAAGGAGGGTTTAGGGCAACCAAACTATGAATGCCTAGACACGAATGACATAGACGGGAACGTCAACAAATTAACGGAGGTAATTGTAAAGTGTAAAGAAAGCTGTCCTCTTCAAGAAAGGAGATCTGCCTTTGAAAAACCCTGGATGACAGGGGAGATTCGGAACAAAGGAAAAGAGGTCCGAAGGCTTTACAACAGAGCACGCCGAAAAAATCCGCAGTATTCGGGACAACTCACACGATAAACAGAAAGAATACAATAAATTAACAAAAAACCGAAAACACATCGACAATGGACGATGTCATGACAGATAGGGAAGAAAGATCAGAGGAACCAATTATTGACAAGTCAATGGTGTTAGACGCCCTAAAAAGCTTCTCACCATTGAAAGCGGCAGGACCAGATAACGTCTTCCCCGCGTTGTTACAAAAAGAGGCGGTATTTTTATCACCATATCTAGCCCCAATCTTTAATGCTTGCTTAAGGTTGACGTACACACCGAAAGCCTGGCAGGAAGCCAGGGTAGTCTGGCAAGGCAAATTACGCCACACTAAAATCATATCGGCCAATAAGCCCAACTTATTTCCTACTCAAAACCATGAAACGTACAATCGGCACCATGATAAAGCGCAGTATACCCAATGATACGCTGAAATACTTACTATGCAGGAAAGCCGAAACGGTGCTAAAAATCACGATTGGGCAAAACCGAGAGGCTTAAACGTAAATCCGAACAAAACGGAACTACAAAGACAAAAATAGGTCAGTACGAAGAGGCCATCTTCCAAAACAAAACGATAGCCATATCTAACAAAGTTAAGTATCTGGGAGTAATTTTAGACAAGAAACTTAAATGGAAAGACCACATACAGCAAAGGGCTGACAAGGCCCAAAGATGCTGGTGTTTCTGCAGAAGAGCCGTAGGCTCTAAATGGGGTTTCAATCCAAAGATGATACACTGGATATATAAGAGCGTTATTAGACCAATTCTAACATACGCGTCTGTTGTCTGGTGGACAGCAATGGATAAAAAATGTAACGTAAAAACGTTGCAGAAAGTTCAAAGAACGTGTTGCCTACGAATATGTGGAGCAATGCGTACAACACCAACTAGGGCTTTGGAGGCAATATTATATATACATCCAATAGACATCCAAATAAAATATGAAGCGGCGGTTGCAGCTTTAAGACTTAAAGCAATGGATGAGTGGATAAACACCGGACACAACACACCGCACAAAAACATTTTACAGGCAACAAATGAGTCGACATTCAATATCTTTGATTCAGACCGTATACCTGAAACAAGAGTACTGACACTGTGCGAAACTATAATACCAGATACAGAACAATGGAATAGCGGAACACTAGTTCAGATGCCGCCTGTTAACTGTTGCTACACGGATGGCTCTCGACTAGGATGGAAAAAGTGGACTGGAACTTTTTATCGAAAAACCGAGTACCGAAATTTCTCTTCGTCTTACAGATCACAACACGATCTTACAGGCGGAGGTTCAAGCTATAACAGAGTGTCTTAACTGGTTAATTTCAAACCAAAGACAAAATACAGTAAATATTATTACGGACAGCAAGCAAGCTATAAAGGCAATATCTTCCAGAACAGTTAAATCCAAAACTGTACTGGAATGTATAAAAACCATTAATGATTTCTCACAACAAGGACCTGTATGAATTATATGGGTACCGGGTTACAAGGAATCATAGGCAACGAGATAGCAAATCAACTAGCCAGGAGTGCCATTGCACTACCCACAATAGAGGTGTATACCGCCAAACCCTTTAGCGAAACACGACAAGAAATGAGGGAATGGGCACATGAGACCCACAAAACCCTTTGGGATAATGAGGGGACAGGAAAAATCACCAAAATCTTATGGGGCGACCCAAGTGAAGACAAAACTAAGCAAATCCTAACGCTAAACAAAAAAGAAATAAGCAGACTGACGGGAGTTCTGACGGGACACCTCGGCCTGAAGGCACATCTACTAAAGACTGGATGCGAAGGAAGTAACAAGTGCAGAGCGTGTGGGGAAGACAGTGAAACGCTGCAACATTTCCTATGCCATTGCCCAGCATTTACATGCCTTCGGAAACAATTCTTGGGAAATGACACGCTTCACGGATTAAGCGATCTGAGGGGGTGTGAATGGAAAAAACTGAAGGAGTTCGCAAAAAACACTGAATTCCTAGATTCATAGGTAATCAAACCCAAATGTTTTTCTTTATTAATATACACTTTCACTAATTCTTGATTTGTACTTTCTCCGTACATCTAAAGCGCACAACAGGCCTCGTATGGCTTTTCAACCTAACATTGTATTCCTTCGATAAATTGTTATGAAAATATCGCTTGTAATTATGAGTCATTCAGTATATTCATGTTCAGATTTGAATTAGTGGGGTCTTTTAAATGTTTATCCTTATACCTTTCACTACAAATGTTGTTTTTTTTTTTTTTTTGTTTTTTGGTTGATAATAGATGTTAGTTTTTGTTTTGCCTCAATAATTTAATTTGGTAAAATAAAAAATCCCGCAATTTACTACCCAAAATTGTTTAAAGGTTCTTGAATTGATAAATATTTTAATTTGTCTCTAATAAAGTGTAATTTCTCTAATAACAACCTAAAGTCCAATTGACATTTACATTTTGACAACGACATTTCTATTTTTGGCCATTGAGGCAACACTGTTCGTCGTAGGCAAGAGACCACTTTGTGTACTTTAAATTTCACCGTCCATGAAATGACGAATGGAGGAGGTTGTCACGACTACCTACCTCTATGGAATAATAAAAGGATGTTGCGTGGAATCCGTTGTGTGGGTGTCCGTGAGCAGCCCACTCTGCGTAAAATAAATATTTATTCACTCTTAAAGGTTGATTTAAAGTGTCGGTACAGCTGCTGCGGATATTGTTAAAGTTGAGATGTTAACATTATTTGACACTTTTCAAATGTGGTCTCTGTCAGCCATATGTCACCAGCACCAGATTATGGTTTCCATGGTGTGTCTGCTTCACCTGAGCACAGATAAAAAGATATGGTCATTCACGTTTGTATTCTGAGTACTGTCAGTGAGGTGTTTACATCCAAGTAA